ATATAGCAATAATGACAAAATTTGATCCATTTTTCTTTATAAAGACGCATGGGCATATTGGATCATTAGTATAACCTTCTTTTATTAAACATTCGCTCAGACAGTTATACCACATTCGCCCTGATTGTTTAAGTCCATACAATGAATTTTTCAATTTGATGGAATATGATTCCCTTGGGTTTAATTTGTATGCTTCAGGTATATTGAATCCCTCAGGGACTTTCATATAAATATCAGTATCCAAGGAGCCATAAAGATGTGCAATAACTACGTCTAAAAAACGCATGTCGAGCTTTTCTTGCACTGCTAGGCTCACAAGGTATCTAAATGTTATTCCATCGACAACCGGAGAGTATGTTTCATCAAAATTACTCCAGGTCTTTGTGAGAATCCCTGAGCTACAAGACGGGCTTTATATCTCACAATTTCATTATGCTCATTTCTTTTTCGTACAAACACCCATTTGTATCCAACTAGTTTTATACCATCCGGTGTTTGAACAATTGGTCCGAAGACCTCCCTTTTGTTTAATGAGTCAAGCTCTGATTGAATCGCATGTTCCCATTTTGGCAAGTCATTTCTCTGTCGACATTCATGAACCGATTTTGGCTCTGGATCCTCGTTTTCTTCCATTATATCAAGTGCTAAATTGTATGCGAAGACATTATCAATAATTGCCTTTTTACGGTTCCAATATTTTCTTGAAGTAATATAGTTAATTGAGTTTTCAATAATCTTATCATATTCTTCAAGATCGTGCTCTTCTGGAGCAATTATTCCAAGGTTGACTTCCTCGTTAGATTGAGGTTTATCAATGTCATTCCTGATATTTTCATGATTTTCATCATTAATTCCTCTTTTCTTTCGAGGGTGTTTATCTTTGGAACCGAGTGGTCTGCCACACTTTAAGCGTGTCGCTGATTCATTAGTACTTCCAATTTGTCCATCAGGGACAATTATTTTAGCCGGAGCATTAGCAGCTTGGATATATGATCGAGTGACTTTGCTCGAGTCATTGAATGCATCCGGTAACTGATTTGCAATGTTTTGCAAATGTATAATGCGTTGAACTTCTAGTTCACACTGCTTTGTACGAGGATCATAAAAATTCAATGGGATTTTCCAATTAATATCCCTTTTCGGTTCGTTTTTGTCTCCCCCTAATGTCGGAAAATATGATTCGTCAAAATGACAATCTGCAAATCTTGCAGTGAATAAATCGTCCGTCATAGGTTTAAGCTATTTTATAATTGACGGCGATTCATATCCGATATAAATGCCCAATCTATGTTGAGGACCCATTTTTGTACGTTTGGGGGTGGAATAGGAACATAAACAGCACACCCAAAAATACGTAGATGAGATATATTTGGTTGGTGACCAAATACTAACTGCATCGGGGAGTAGCTATGATAGCTTGTCGGCCTCATTCTTATGAGTGTTCCTGCGTGTAAGATTGCATGCCCCCAAGCTGAAACGGGCAACATAGACCTCGTCAGTAATGGTCTAGAAATCAATTGTAATCTTTTAATAAGTGATTCTGCCAGGCCATTTTGTGTATGAACATGAGCAACTGGGTGCTCTACATTAATTCCAATCGACATGCAATAATCATCAAATGCATTCGATGTATATTCACCAGCATTATCCAGACATATAGTCTTAATTGGATTATCGGGGAATTGTGCCCGTAATTTAATAATTTGGGCAAGCAATCTCGCAAATGCCATATTGCGAGTAGATAATAAACAAACATGGGACAATCTCGTAGATGCATCAATAAGCACCATAAAATATTTAAATGGCCCACACGGTGGGTCTATTGGTCCATATATATCTCCGTGTATTCTTTCCAAAAATGTAGGTGATTCAATACCTACTTTAGCTGGCGATGGCCTGGTTATCAATTTTCCCTGAGTGCAGGCAACACATGTTAACTCATTTGAGTTTAACGCTTTTTGACCTTTTAATGAATGGCCATGCGAATTCTCAATTATTCGCCTCATCATTATATTGCCAGGATGCCCAAGGCGATCATGCCATATTTGAAAATCGGTAGTCTTTTGATCTACCGTGAGGTGTGTTTCAACAACACCTAATCTGGCATAATATAAGCCAGTAGAGAGTGAGGGTAATCTCTCAATGATGCATTTCGTTTCATCAATGATATTGGTGATCAATAAAACTTCACCATCAGTATCACTCATAGTTTCAATGTGATAACCATTTTTCCGAATGTCATGAAAGCTCAGTAAATTTCTTCGAGCTTTAGTGGCCAACAGTGTATACTGTATCACAATTTTCGTCCCCGCGGGGAGAAATATAATGGCTTATCCAGAGCCTTCAATTAATTTTGCACTGCCACTTATTGTATTGACATTCATCTTTTCCCTTTTTCAAATGAGAGAAATATTTTTCGTGTTTCAATATAGTATGTGTCGTTGCACTGTCAATGAAACGCATATTTGCATCATTTTGATTGGCATCCATTTAACCAAAAATAAAGTAGGCAAGAGCCTCGTGCTGATAACGTGTTATATAATAAATATTATATTTGGTAAGTACAATAATATATATTTCAATGTATTAATATATAATATATGTATATATATGTATGCTGTGTATGTTGATATATATATATTATAGTATATATGACAATGCAATATAAAATATTAATGCAAGATATCTAAGGCTGGGAGCAGATAACTTAATGCAATTGTCTGTATGATTTTATTGAATGAACATATGCAAGTATTTATAGACAATGAGGAATATGAATATTGGCGTAAAGTGAGCCACGTCGCATCCACATATTACATATGTATACACTACGTATGTATTATATATGTAACAAATAAAATATTTTAGCTTTGGTCCAAATAAATATTTTGATTTCAAAAAAATAGTTAGACTTTGATCCGAATAAATACTTGGGTTCCAACGAAATATTTTGGTTTTGGTTTGAAGGAAATATTCTGGTTCCGAAGAAATATTTTGACCTTGATTCCAACAAATATTCTGATTCCAAATAAATATTTGTACTATAGTTTCGACAATTATTCTGATGTCGATTCCGACAAACACTTCAGCCTTGGTTCCGGAAACCATGTCAAGGTCGGTGTCGACAAGTGTTTCGGTGTTGAATTCGACAACATTTGGTTCTAATAAAACCGCACCGATTCCGACAAATATTTCAGCGGTACTAATTTTTAATGGTATTAAAGGATGTCAAAAGTTTACACAGGAAAGGTGAATATGTGCAGACGTTGCGGAGTCTAAAGCAAGATTGGATTTGAAGTCTATCTGCGGGAAATGGCCAAATCCAATATCGAATTATATTCAGTCAAAGATCTTTATTACTGAAAATTCTTGGATTTTGTTTTGTTGACAAAAATATCATAATTTTGTTACAAAGTCATAAATTATTCCGATGGGTAAATTATATAACACATTCTTGTATTTTAGTAAATTAATGCATAAAATTATCTTGTGTTAATGTAACTATTTTCCTCCAAAATTGATATTTGATTATATATATAAACTCAATAATGCAAATAATTTTTTAATAAATAAATAAATAATTGATTCTTTATTTTATATTCTCCATTCCCAAAAATTAGAACATTTGGGTCCGGCACGGACATTAAGAAAAATAAATATTTTATTAAAAAAATGATAAAAATAAAAAGGTAGTTGGAATAATTATATTTATTTGTTGACTTTGCCAAAATTAGTAATGGAATAAATGTAGGGACAGACTAAAATAGAAAGTGAGAATAACTTTGACGAATCGAGGGAATAATTTTCTATAAACAAATTATTATCTAATTTTTACAAAAATTATAAAATAATTATTTGATCAATTATTTTTTTCTTATTTATCTTTTTAAAAAAATTATTTAAAATATTTACATCTTTTATTTATTTGTATAAAACTTATTTTTAACTCTCTGTTCAGCACAACACTTTGGACAATTTCTGAGCACTTAAATTAACACAAGAAACTTTTATACTCCCTCCTTCTCAAAAAAGGTACTACATTTAAGTTAGGTACGGGATTTTAGGTGAGAAGTATTAAGTAGGATAATTGAGTAATTATGTGATGTGATGGAGAGAGAAGTGTATATTTTATTTTTTTTAAGGTGATTGGATGAGATAAAGTGTGGGAATATAGATTAAGTATAATTAATTATTTCCTAATTTAGAAATATTGTATGGTGTTTGGAACGTACCAAAAAGAAAGGTGTTTGGGACGTACCAAAAAGGAAGGTGCTTGAGACGGAGGGAGTATAATTTATTCTATTCCTATTTATGATTTTGATAAAACTGCATATTATTAGAATAACAAATTAAATTAAGTATATTACTCCCTCCGTCCCAAACACCATGCAACATTTGTGTTTGGCACAAGAATTTAGGTGAAGAGTATTAAGTATAGTAATTTGAGATAATTTGGACATTAAGTGATGTGATTTTTGACAGAAATAATTATTTATTTTTTTTATTTGAGTGATATGACGGGATAAAATGAAGTGTATATTAATATATGTATAAAAATATTATTAATTATTTTTAAATTTAAAAATATTGCGAGAACGAAGGGAGTAGATTATTCTTACTCTGAAATTTTATAAATAGGACTTGATATAATCATTGTAAATCAAATAAACACATCTCAATCAAAGTTTATATTTCTTTTATTGTTCTCCAATTTATTTTCAATTTTATGATACTAATTAAAAATTTAATCACTCTAAATCTTTGAACCGTAACAATTATGAATAGAATTAGTTAAATCTATTAGAAGATTAAACAAGAAACACAGAGACATTGTACTTTATTACATCCAAGGTTCAGAAACTTTATACAAATGTAGAGTACGAAGGCACTCAAGAATCACATAGATTAATTTGTTCCCCATTTGCTCGTTAAAATTTTCAACGATTTCTCAACAAACCACAAATTTGGGTTAGAACCTTATTATAGCTTTGTCAAAAAATAAAAAAAATAAAACCCTTATCATCAGCTTTGTTTCACAAGGAAGATTTATAAGTTGGACTTCCATTTGGACAGAAAAATAAAGATTAGAGGATCACAACAGTGCAAAATTTCTAGATCAAGAAATGACCCATGAACATGAATTTGCCTCAAGAGTATGGCAATAGATACACAGTGACAGTGCGGGGAGTTTTTAAAACAAAGTTCCAAAGAAGAGTTGCTGTTGCTTTATACTTAACGTCGTAGATTGGCAGCAGAGCAGAGGCCAAGTAAAGGATTGAGAGAGAGAGAGACACACAGTACCTGGGTTGGGGACGGAAGCCATTGAGTCGAGTCACTAGCCTGATTGGCCAGGAAGTTCTTTGAAGGTTGGGTCACAGGGTTGAAGTACTTTGTGGACCAATTCAGCTGATTCTTTTGAGTTCACTGCCATGGGAGAATCAAGCTACCAATAACTTGGAGAGGCTTTTGACTCTAATCTGCCTATAAGAACACAAGGACAGCCAGTGTATTCATATTGATAAACGGACATAAAAATAATAAAAAAATTAAATCGTATGTTTAGATAAGTATATATAGATACACATTTATGTGGTTGGGTAATCCCGCATTAGGCAGAATAAATACACTTGATAAGGTTATTGGCATATGATCTAAAGTTAGGAAGCCTTGAATATATATTTGCATATTTTGGTGAAGGGAAATTATGTGAGGGCTGAGACAAGCATCAGTAAGACAGCAACTGTATCTGAATAAGATATATATGCATATTACAAATTTGGAGCATCATTTCTTGTTATTGCATTTTCCAGCACAGTGCACTAGAAGATTTAATGCAACAAGCATATAAGATCTAATAATAATATGAATATAAACTATACTTCACTTTTTAAAATAGAGTTTAAACAGGTAACAGTTGAACTTTTAAAAGACCATTAAAAAACCTAGGCTCTTTTTAGATAGAAATTTTGGAAGTTTTTGAAACTTTTGTAATGAGTAAAAAATTGGGTATTTGATATGATGTTTTATAAGAGAAAAAATATATATGATGTGATGATTTTTATAAAAAGTTATTGTTGATGTAATTGCTGTATTGTAGTAAGAAAATTCACCAAGGAGGCAAATACCTTAGTGTTATTTCCAGACACCATAAGCTTAACATGAATTTGATACTGCACAGGATTGCTCAATCTTTTTCCTCAGCTCTCAATGGTTTTTCATTTACGATTTTTGACAGTGTAGTATCCAGCTTCTCTCCAATTAAATTGATCCAAGCCTAAAATTCATTAGAAAAGAAAAATGATAAGAATTGAAAAGTAAAAGATATGAATTTAAAATAGAAAATACTACTTAAGACATGTAGGATTTAAATCGAAGTAGCTAAATTTCATAAATTTGGATCAAGCAGTAATCTAATTATATACTTCAATAACAATTATTCCACACTGGGTGATAGGAGCACATCTAGGACAAAAATACTGAAATGAACGAAAAAGAAAAGATACCTGGTCAGATGTAGTGAAGCCTCTAATTGTGTCTCCACCAACTATTGCAATTCCTTTATCCCCAATAGGCTGCAGGATAACAGCCTAAGAAAGATGTCCCACCTTAGTAAAATAAATCAACAACAAATATAAAATTGGAAGTTTGAAACTCAAATACTTGCCCAGCATATAATCGAAAGAGAAAGCAGCTGATATGATATCTAGAAATGAATTTATTAGCTCAGAGTAATAATCAGGATGACAAGCAACAAACAACAAACATACACAACTCGTATTATAGGAGCACTAAGGTATCAGGTCAGCATTTCAATGAATATTATGTTTAAAAGTATATATATGTTAGATATTAAGTACAAATATTAATTAGGCTTGTGATTTAAAGTACATGTGAGTTACTAGGTGTTAGGTTTGTTTATGTCCGGAAAAATATTTGATTCATTATACCTGGACTAGGTTCTCTAGTTTCTTTTCTTACTCTTTCTTACTCTTTTTCTTTGTTTTTTGGTTTTTTGATCATTTCTTACTTAGATGTACCAATAGTGGTTATATGTATTGTACTCATTGATTGTAAATGGATAATTGGTTATATGTATTGTACTCATTGATTGTAAATGGATAATAGAAAATACGACTATATTTTTTCTTTCTTCTTTTTGACATGGTAATCAAAACAAGTTTGTGTCCTAACCTCAAAAAATATATTCACGTCTTCTCAGTAAAAAAAAAAATTCTACATCCTCTTCATTTTCTTTGGTTTGATATGGCGTCCTCGTCTAATATGAAAGTTACTTTTGGTACGCCACTTTCTGATGTTGTGTCTATTCCCCATGTCGAGTATGAATGACTAATAGCAACTGCTACTCTACTACTACATCCGTTACTACCTCTTTAGCAGGTGCTACACCTTGGATGTTAGATTCTGGTGTTTCTCATTATATTACTGCTTCTAAATCCCAATTTTCCTTCTTTACTCCTATTTCTTCGTCTTCTGTCTGTTTGGCTGATGGTACATTTTCTTCTGTTGTGTATAGGCACAACATGCCCTACCACAAAACTCTCTTTAAATAAAATCTTATTTGCTCTACGATTTTCAATCACTCTTCTTTCTATTAGCCAACTCAGTAAAACTCATAATTGCTCGGTGACTTTCTACTCTTCTCATGTTTTTCAGGACCTACAAACGAAGAGGACGATTGGTGGCAGCCGTGAGCATGGTGGAGTTTACTATCTTTACCCTAATCCATCATATCATGCCCTTTCTGTTAAGGTCAAACCTTATCAATGGCATGGTCGATTAGGTCATCCTTCTCTTCTCTATACTAAATTCTGTGTTACCTTTTTCCTGTCTCCATTTCAGAATTGACGTGTAAGTAGTGCGATCTAGGAAAGTATTGTCATACTTCCATCTCACCTAGAGTCAATAATCTCTCTCCCTTTTATGTTGCTCATTGTGACATATGGGGCCGACTAGTGTTCAGTCTCTCCCTTTCCGATTTTCGCAACATTATAAATATATGAATTCGAACAAACAATTTTAATGAGCTGGCTTGTGCATATTGTGGATAATTGTGTAGCATATATAGAAATTGAAACTTTTGGTGTCTACTTAATGATAGCAACTAAATATAAATACCTGAGTGTTTGGAGGTAGAAATGGAAGCTCAGACTTCCCAGGGTACAATGACAAGTTGGCCAAGTAGCTTTCTGAAAATACAAATGAAAACATTGTACATTCAAAATCATGGGCCAGTACAGGGCAATAAGATTATGGATTTTGGTACAAAATAAAGCAATTATAAGACTCACGTGATCCTGATTTAACAATGCCACTATAAAGAGATCCCTTCATCAAGTTATCGGTATCTACAACCATGGGTTCACCTTCATTTGAGCGTGATACATCAGCAAACCCAGCTTGCAAAATACAGATACTGTTGTACACAACAACAAGAGACCTGCAACATGTTACGTTTGATACAGACTCCCATGTCCTGAGATCATAAAAGAAACATCAAAGTGATTTTTTGTACTCAATTTCTTCTACATTTTTATCATTTTAACTCTATCAGTGAATATATATATATATATATTAAAAAGGGTGAAGATGATAAAATAGTAGAGGATTCTGAAAAGCAATTAATGGAGATAACAAACACAAGTACAACACAATTTCAGTTGTACGAGATATATACCAAAGTAACTCAGCTATGACAAATTCAGGAAGCTCATGGTATAGTCTTTGGCATTGCACCCCTATGGGACTCACCTACAGATGAAACAGAAAAATGAAGATGCCTTTTGGCACTGCAAAGACGAAAACATCATCCAAGAATAAGAGAGCAATGTGGAATTCACATCTACTTTCTCACCGTAGCAATAGGCTTCGGTCGAATAGAGAGCCACACAAGGCCATTCAGAATATTAGCCACAGCCAAACCAATTGCCAATAAATCTGCTCTAGATTGTGAACTGCCAGAGAAAATAGATTTCAAGCATAGACATGTAGATTGGAACAAGGATCCTATCACATACATAGAAATATTATGTTTAGATGAAACACTCTATAACTTTACATTAAAAAAATGTCATCATATATATTTGTATACAGTTCCAGGCCAAAGAAATAAGAATCAGATTTGTTATGCACTTGTTTTTTACAGACTTTCTTCCATTCTAATACAGGCAATGCTAGAGAAAAGCACTCAATTAGCAGGGCATTAACCTCTAGGTAGGATGTTAAGGAGTAGGCCATTTTTATCTTTTTTTTGTTTTTTTTTTTTTGGACAAGCTGAGAGTAAGTTTATTTCTTCCCCAATCTCCTCCATATTCTTTTACTCTTACAATCCCTTATCTTGTGTTACAATCCCTACACACACTATCACCAGCTTCCGAGCGTCAAATTTTACCTGCTGGCATCAGCAACTGGAGCAATGCCTGAAACGGCACGGTTGACGAGCACAGCCAACAGTGATAAGCCGCCGACGGTTATAGGCATGCTGCGGACAACATCGTCGTTTTTGGACACCAACTCCGCCACCCATTCCCTCTTCGACTTCAACCCTTTTACATCCTTGCTTCCATTTTAACAGTATTCCACTCAGTTCAAAATTCATCAAATGGAAGGAAGGAAGGAAGCAAGCGCAGGGACGAGACAGCGTGTGTACCTGTCGATTGAGCGAAGCGTTTGGTGGGGAAGTGAAACGACGTCGTAGCGGGGTAAACGGAGCGACAAAACGCAACAGAATTGCCGCTTCCATTGGGGATTTGTTTTGGCCACACTAGTTTTTGACCTGTAAAACTTAATACTACAAATTAATAGACTTGCCCATTCGGTTTTGGAACATCGGTTCGAACCGTCAGATTCGCCGGTTTTCGAGAGAAGAAAAGTAGAAGCAAAATAAAAATAAAAATAAAAATTAAAAAAATAAAAAAAAAAAAGAAAGGAAGAAGAAGATAATAGTAACAAATTGAATATTGTCCTACATTGTTAAATATGTGGAAATTCTCCTCCTTTTTTTATAAGAGGCGAAGACGCTCCAACTATTTCTAATTGATTTTAGATTGAATGTCCAAATCCTTTAAGTAGAAGGAAAATAAGAAAAAATAAAAATAAAATAGGAAATGAAGAAGAAGATAATAGTAACATGGTCAATATTGTCCTACATTGCTAAATATGTGGAACTTTCTCTCTATATAAAGGTGAAGGACACTCCACCTATTTCCAATTAATTTTAGGTTGGATGTCCGGATCATTTCTTAACATAACCTGTCGAATAAGGGGTTTTTTTTTTTTTTGATCTTTCAAATTATTTTCTCATGTGATCCGTGTTGGGAAAAACTGGGAGATAATATTAAAATGAGAATAAATTGCTGCCAAAAATCTATTTATTAAAGCATACTGGAGCCTATATATATAGGCTTAGTCCAAAAAATTCTCAAATGGTTAACAGACTCCAAAAGACTCTCAACAAATTTAATAACAAACTCTGACTTAGTCTACCAGTGATTCTAGTAAACTCTTATTTAAATAACACCTGAAAAATGAAATAATATTTCAACACCCCCCTTCATTTGAAGGTGGCAAGACCCAATTTTATGCTAAAGTTCTTCATGTTTGGCTTGAGGTAGACTCTTTGTTAACACGTCAGCCACTTGCTCTTCGCTTCGACAAAGTTCAAGCTAGATTTTCCCTTCATTGATTAGCTCCCTTATGAAATGATGCTTAATCTCAATATGTTTTGTACGACTGTGATGGACTGGATTTTTTGCTAGCATGACAGCTGATTTGCTGTCACATTTAATGACAGTAGGGTTGTTTTGTTCCTGTCCCAAGTCGCAAAGAATTCGTCGTAGCTAGACTGCTTGACACCCTGCTGCAGTGGCTGCCACATGTTCAGCTTCTGTAGACTACACAGCTACTGTGGGTTGTTTTTTTGAGTTCCAGGAGATTGCAGTTGTCCCCAACATAAAGCAATTTTCAGATGTGTTTCTTCGATCATCCAAGTTTCCGGCCCAGTCACTGTCCGTAAAGCCTTTAAGGCTGAAGTCCTCAACTTTGCAGAACCAAATTCCAAAATCCTTAGTTCCAGCCAAATATCTTAAAACCCTTTTTGCTGCTCCAAGACAATGTTGAGTGGGCTTTTGCATAAATCGTGACAACACACCGACTGAATATGCAATGTCTGGTCGTGAGTGAGTGAGATAGATTAACCTCCCCACCAAACTTCGATAAACTGTTGCATCTGCCAACATTGTGTTGTCGCAAGCAGTCAGCTTTTCGCCAATGTTCATTGGCGTTGCAACTGTATTGCATCCCAACATATTAGATTTCTTCAATGTGTCCTCCACATATTTCCTTTGTGTCATGAATATGCCTTTACGGTCTTGAGTGATTTCCAATCCCAAAAAGTATTGTAATTCTCCCAAGTCGGTCATGTCAAACATTTTCTTCATTGATGTTTGAAACTCATTTATGAGATGCATAGATGAGCTCATGTATATCATGTCATCAACATAGAGACTTAGAATAAGTAAATCACATGTACCTCGTCTTTTTATATACAACGTCGGCTCATTGGGACTTTTTTCGAATCCAACTTTTTGGAGGAAGTCAGCAATCTTGTTGTACCAAGCACGCGGAGCTTGCTTAAGTCCGTAGAAAGCTTTATGTAGACGTAACACTTTTTCCTCGTTATTTTCAAATCCAGGTGGTTGACTAACATAAACTTCTTCTTGTAAATCTCCATTTAGGAAGGCAGACTTGACATCAAACTGATAGATTTTCCATTGTTGTTGTGCTGCAAGTGCCAAGAGAATCCGCACCGTGTCAAAATGTGCTACCGGAGAGAATGTTTCCTCATAATCGAGTCCATGTTGTTGTGTGAAGCCTTGAGCTACTAGTCTGGCCTTGTGTTTCTGAACATTTCCATCGGGCAAATATTTTGTCTTGAAAATCCATTTCAGGCTAATGACTTTCCTGCCTTCTGGGAACCATTTTCCATGTTTGGTTCCGTTCGATAGCTGATAACTCCTCCTGCATCGCATTTCTCCACTCTGCCTTCTCCATTGCTTCTTCTACTGTCATAGGATCTGCTGCAAACAGAACTAAAGATGAAGCATCCTCCCCCTCAATCTCAAAGCGACGCCTAGGAATTTGGCCACGTGTGCTTCTGCGTAGTGTGGCTGGATCATTGGGTACTGTCGACTCTTCCAGAGAGGATTCTGTAGGAGTGGTGAGATCGTGTTTGGTTGGTGTCAAAATCTGAGGTCCATCATCTTCCATCAACTCAATTTCAACCATTGCAGATGTTGTGTTGCTGATCTTTTTTTCTGTCCAATCCCACGTAGCCTGCTCATCAAACATAACATTTCGGCTGACTGTAATTTTATGATCCATAGGATCATAAACTCGATAAGCCTTTGACTTAGTACAGTAGCCAATAAATATGTGTTTTCGTGATTTTTCGGCTAGCTTATTCTGAACACTTGAATGTAAGACATAACAAATGCATCCAAACACACGTAGATGGCTTACCGATGGCTTGTATCCGCTCCATGCTTCATATGGAATCTTGTTCCATACCGCTTTGGTGGGTGAAAGGTTAAGAATATAGGTTGCAGCAACCACTCCTTCAGCCCAAAAACGGTCAGACATTCCCTGAAGTTTCAGCATTGATTGAGTCATTTCCATGATGGTGCGATTTTTCCATTCGGCCACACCGTTCTGTTCGGGAATGTATGGAGCTGTGAGTTCCCTTCTGATTCCATGTTCATTGCAGTACACATAAAATGTTGCTGATGTGAATTCTCCACCACGATCTGTGCGAAGTGTTTTAATATACTTTCGTGCGAAGTGTTTTAATATACTTTCCACTCTGCTTCTCAACCAAGGCCTTAAATACTTTGAATGACTCAAAGCATTCCGATTTTTTCTTTAAAAAATATACCCAGCTCATCCTACTGAAATCATCAATAAATAGAAGAAAGTACTTGCTCCCACCTAGTGATTCGGTTCGCATTGGACCACAAACATCAGCATGGATGAGTTCTAAGACATTTTCAGCCCGCCGAGACTTTCGCTAGGAAAAGACTGCCTTGTTTGTTTTCCAGCCATGCATGCCTCACATACATTGCCTATAGGCTCAATGACAGGAAGGCTTTTCACCATATTCTTATTTCTCAATAGCTGCAACCTTTTTATATATAAATGGCCATATCGCCGATGCCATAATTCACTTTCGGTGAGAGTTTTGCTCATCATAGCACTTTCTGTTGTAATAGAGAAATCCAAGGCAAACATTCGATTTGATGACATATGAGCACACACAAGAATTTTGTTGTCGATCTTATCTTTCGCAACACATTTATCATCCTCGAATGTCACCGTGTAACCATATTCAATTAGTTGTCCAACACTTAATAAGTTAGGTGCTAAACTTGGAACAAAGTACACATCTTTAATGAGAGCTTTATTGTTACCTGCTCCAACCGAGATGATACCACTTCCCTCAATTTTTAGTTGTTGGTCATCTCCGAGCCTTACTTGCGATTTCACAATCTCATCAAGCTCTTTAAATTTTGAGCGATCAACAGTCATATGATGAGAGCAGCCGTTGTCTATATACGAGAGGTCGTTCTTCTCTTCGTGTGCACCCGCCAATGCCATGAACAAATAGTTTTCTTCATTTTCCTCAGCATATTGTGCCTCTTCTGGTTTGGACCAACAATACTTGACTGTGTGCCCAGATTTGTTGCAGTATGAGCATTTCAGTGCACTGTTCCTGCCACGACCTCGTCCTCGATAGTTCCCTCGACCTCTGCCTCGGTTCAAGGGTGCGGGCTCTCCTTTGGTTTGAAATGCCTTCTCTTCCTGTTTAATGTTGAAGCGATTGATCCGTACTTCGTGTGCTTGAAGTGATCCCATCAATTCATCAACTGTGAAGGTTGATAGGTCTCATGATTCCTCAATCGCAGCCACCACATGGTCAAACTTTGATGGTAGGCTCCGTAGGATCTTAGCGACTATGTTTGGTCGGTTATTGTATCTCCGTAGGACCTCATTTTTGCCACAGTTGTGCCCACCTTTGCCAAATATTCTTGCACAGATTCAATTTCAGTCATGGAAGATGTCTCAAATGTGCGTCTGAGTGTCTGCAATTTCACTGCTATTACTTTGGGCAGATCCTTTATACTCATTTTTTAATGCGGTCCAGACTTCTTTGGCTGTGGTGGCTCCTGCTATTCTAGAGAAGATTGAATAATCTACTGCCTGCTGAATGAAAAAATAGCTTCTTGGCATCACGCTTCCGCTGTTCTCTGTTCCGATTTTCATCTTCTTTGAATTCCTCATATCCACTTTCCACATATTCCCATAAATCCTGGGATCGAAACAAGGTCTTCATTTTGATGCTCCAAAAATCATAAGACTCACCTTTAAATACAGGTATTTGTGGTTGATTAGCAGAAGAGAGATTTGGAGCAGCCATGGCGAAGACGCAAATCTGGCTCTGATACCAATTTTGTTGGGAAAAACTGGGAGATAATATTAAGATGAGAATAAATTGCTGCAAAAAATCTATTTATTAAAGCATATTGGAGCCTATATATATAGGCTTAGTCCAGAAAATTCTCAAATGGTTAACAGACTCCAAAAACTCTCAACAAATTTAATAACAAACTCTAACTTAGTCTACTAGTGATTCTAGTAAACTCTTATTTAAATAACACCTGAAAAATGAAATAATATTTCAACAATCCGAACCCATTTTTTTCTAATCATTCAGGAAAAAAATTTATTTTCTTACAAAAAAAAAAAAAAAAGAGATAGAACCAATAAAAAAAAAAATTAGATCCATCCCAAACCTCAATTCAAGAATTATTTTGATTCAATCCGTCATTTTAAAAATTTAGTTTTTGAAAAATCTTATATTTATAAAATACAAAAGTTTTCAAAATTTTTTTAAAAGTTTAAAAAATATCTAAAATATCAAATTAATGAATTTCCATAACTCTTTTTTTTGTTTTTTAATCTTCCAACTATTTAATACTATTGAAATAAATGTCTTTAATATTGAGTATTATAATTATTCTCAAAAGCTCAAGTGTGTTTGGAGAGAAATTATGCTCGAAAATAGAAATAGTCTCATTCATCTTATTTGGTCGAGACAGATAATTGCAGAGAATTGTATATTCATATATATTTTTTTGTATTATTTAATTTTATATTTTTAAAATTATATTATTTCAATTTTACAATACATCATATTTAATTTAGTATTCAAATATAATTTTTTTATTTTTTAAAAAATTACACTAAAATTTAATGTTATAAAACATAGTACCTAATTAATCATTTAAACAAAAAAATTACAAAAAATATTTTTTCATAATTCTTACTCATTAAAATTTTTCTTATCTGATTACACATTTATTTATTTATTTATTTTTTATCTATGATCCATTCAAATAGTTGTATTTGTTTACATTTTCAAGTGAATTCTCGATTTCACCAAATAAGTGAATTTATTCCCATTCTGTAATGAATTTATTTTTTTATTATCTAATCTTATTTCTTTATTTGCAATTTCATTCGATTTACTAAATATCTATTATAGTTATTATTTTAGCAATTTTAAATTTTTCTTTATAAAACATTTATATTTATAATTATAGAAAATTTGAGAATTTCTATACTTTTTTATATTTCAAACATTTGCTTGTGGCGTGTCTTCTTTCTCCGTATAATTCCCTTTTAAAAAAGTTTTACTTTTAGGTATTATTTTTTAACTAAATTATTTTGTAATCTTTATACAATATTTTATTTTATATTTTTTTGTCGTAAAAAATAATATCTAATAGTTTAACCAAAAACGCCAGCCGAAATCGATTTGATTGTAGAATTTCCTTGACTTTCTAAAAAGGAATCTGGACTGTCTTTCCATATCCAAATAATTAACACATTGAAAATTAAATCTGCAGTTGAAAAAAGAAGCTGTAAAAATCCCTAAATTATCACCGACCGTTCTCACCTCCTTACAACAGGCTTAATCGACCCTGCATCCGAAACATTTGTTCCAGTGCTCAGATTGTCTGGAAATTTGATTTTAGATTAAAAGAAAATTAGTTTTTATTCTTTAATTACATTTCTTTTATTTTTTATCTTTTATCAGACTATTTCGTTGCTTGATTGAAACCAGATGCTTTCTTCCCACCTTCGGATCGCTGCCCTGTTCTCCGATTGCTGCCCTGCAAGTATCAACCCAAATGGGTATGGTTCTATCCGAAACCCTAAATCCCCAAATCAAAACACTCAGAATTGAACAAAATTACACCAAAATTCTAAAACGATTTCACCATCGATTCGTCTAAGTACACGAACACGGCATGGGATAGTACGGTGGAGACTGTTGACTGCGGTGGCGGCGTTGTGGAGGAGGATGAAGCGAAGAATTTGGGGCATGTCTGAGACTCATAAAAATTGAGGAAAAATCAAAGGAAAAAAAAAAGTTTTGGTTCAATTTTGACACCTAGCTAATGCAATTGAAGTTGTTTTCTATTGTTGCACCAATCATATACCCTTTTTTTTTTTGTGATTATGTTGCAATGGTTTCTTACGTGTGAGATTTTTTTTTTTATTTTTTATTTTTTATTTTTTTTCCTTTATGGTGTGTTATGATTTTTAGTTGCAATTATATATTAATATAGGATAGTGATGTGATGATAAAAATCATTATTTTAAGATAAACTGTTTTTTTATCAGTTAGTGGAGTGTTTCGCAAATTAGTCATATAAGTGAAAAGTTTTTGTTATTTTAATCCTCCGGCGCTGGAGACGTTCGCATGGCTGGTTGGACACTTGGCGAACACGTGGATTTATTTTTCTTTTTAATTTTTTTTAATTGAACCAAATAAAAAAATTAAAAAAGCAAATAAAATTAATAATAAATTTTAAATAAATTTTTTAAAGAATAAAAAAAAATAATAATATCCACGTGTACGCCAGGTACCGCTGACCTGACAGACACGTAGCGGGCGTCTCTGACGCCAGATGACTAAAACAACAAAAAAATTTCACTTATGGAACTAGGCTCCATTTACTGTACTAAAATGATAAAGAGATCCAATTACGGCGACTTAAAAAACAGGTACCCATCATTTTATATAGTAAAATTGTTACTCCCTTCGTCCCACATACCATGTCCACGTTGCCGTTTCTGTCCGTCCCACATACCATGTCACTTTTCTTTTTTGGAAAATGATTATACACTTTAATCTCATTTTAAACTTTTTAAATTTTATTTGTTTTTAAATTTCAATTAAACTAATTAGTTATCTTAATCTTAATTTATAAATATTTATATTTTGGGATAATTATTTTCACTAATACATTTTTGATTATCTACTAATTACATTCCTCCTAAAATATGGTATTACAGGTATTACAGTGTAGCAGACACGGTACGTGAGACAAATATAGTTTTTCAATTTTGACTAAATACATGATTGTTTTGAATATATAAAGCTTTCATGAGATTCATTATGAAATAAGACTTAGTATTTGAATTGAAAACTTCATTTGTCTTCATAGATACATTGTAGTTTGCTTTTGGTATTCATTTGACATTGAATATTTGCCAAGTTTCTAGTAAATTATCAATTGAATTTTCAGTGGTAGTGTCCTTGTAGAGATGGTGGGTGGAAGTGGAACACCCGGTAAGGAAAAAATACTTGTCTTCAAATCTGAATGGCAAAATTGCCCATAAATTTCTTGTCGTTTCAAAACTCAACGTAAATTTCCCCTCTATTTTAAAAATTGCATGACGTCCTCTTATACTTTAAAAAATGTTGCATGAAACCACTTTGTTGTTTCCAAACTCAGCATAAATCACCATTTTACTTTAAAAAATTGCATGACGCTCACTTATACTTTAAAAAATATTGCATAAAACCCCCCTGTCATGCAAAACATATAGATAAGAAATCATCTTCTTATCACACGAGGAAAGTTTCATGGTAGTGGGGTTTCATGCAACGGTTTTTAAAGTATAAGGGGGTACCATGCAATTTTTAAAGTACAGGGAGATTTTACGCTGAATTTTGAAACCACATGGGAATTATAAGCAATTTTACCAACCTGAATCATTGGAAGACTATTAGAACAAAATCTACAAAAAGAAAATCAAAGATGTTTCGAATACCGAGACATCCAAAATCTGACACCTGCCAAAGGAGTACTCAGATTCTATGTTGGGGGTGAGCAATAATTGCAAGTGATAAAGATGCTGGGAAGTGAATTTATATTTGATCGTCGCAATTCAACTACTTGCCATGTTCTCTTTCCGGACATCCGAGAAATTTGAACTTTTCTTTTTGTATTATTTGAAATTTTTTCTGTAATAATAAATTTAAAATATTTACATCCAAGGGAACTCCACTAGTACGAGGCTTTTTGGAGAATATCCAAAAACAAATCTGTGCGGGCTCAGCCAAAAGCGGACAATATCATACTAGTGTTGAGTTGACCCAGTCTCAACACCATCGGTTGGTTTGCCATCGGTTGGTTTGCCATCGGTTAGTTCGCCATCGGTTAGTTCGCTATCGGTTGGTTTGCCGTCGGTTGGTTTGCAGTCGGTTGGTTCGCCGTTGTTTGGGCCAGTCGGTTGGTCCGAGGTTGGTTGGCCCGTGGTCGGACCAAATGAGGTCGGACGGTCGGTTGAGCCGGTCGGTTGATACAAAGGGCGGACCAAATGAGGTCGGGTGGCACATAGGTCGGACCAAATAAGGTCGGGTGGCACATAGTTCGGACAAGAGAAGATCAGGCGTTCGATGAATCGTCTGGACGGATAGTTGTTCAGCTATTTGAGGGGACTAAATGGTGGTCGCTCGAGTGGGCAACTGAGTAGTCATTCGGTCTAGCGACCAGTCGGTTGATAAATTGTTGAGTTATTCGGTAGGTTTAGGCGGTCGGTCGGGCCAGTTGAGTTCTGGAACTGGTGGAAGCGGTTGGCGAAGCGGTTAAAAACACGTGTCATTGAAGGAGGAATTAGTGGGCGTTTGAGAGTGGTTACGGTAACCGTTCAGACGACGATTCTAAGCATTTTCTTGAAGGAATATTTAAGGATTTGGATTGATTGTAGAAGGTATCTTCAAATTTAAAAAAAAAATCAACTTATTTGCGGATTTCTTTTAGGGGCAAACTTTTAATTCTAATGTATTTTATTACTTTATGCTACAAATCGATTTTTATTCAAGTTCGAAATTATTTTCGAATTTTATTTTTTATTATTGAAAAATTAGATCAACAATAATAATGAATAATCTTATTCTTACCAATAAGAAAAGAAAATCCAATTATCAAGCACTTCTTCCACAAAAAGCTACAAACAACTGAATGTTAATAAAGAATTCATGTCTAAAGAAACAATTAAGATTTTGGGATGAACGATAAAAATAGAACCGCATAGATAAAAAAAAAAAATTAACGAATTAAGTAGATAAAATATCTAAATAATCTTTTTTACCGTTTAGGCCGTAGAATCGAACAGTCGTTTATGAAATTAAAAATAATAATAATAATAATAATAATAATAATAATAATAATAAATTAAAAATATTTGTTTTTCTTTTTGAATTTGGTCTTATGTGGGCTGCTATTCTGGGCCAATTCAACTGGCTCTCCTCATTGTCTTTGGGCCTTCGGCTGCTAAGAATAGGCCGGGCCGACTTTTGGCTTTTGACTAAAATTCGAATTGGATAGATTCTAAATTTGATGGATTACAATATTGTTTGTAGGCTATTTTATTTTATAATATGTATTTGTTATTTGATACTTATTTTGACATTATTTTATAATAAGTTGGTTGTTTAATATTTATGTATTTATTTATATTTTATAATTTGTTTGTTTATTTTGGTATTATTTTGTAGAGTTTATATTTAAGGTATATTATTTATATGTATTTATTTATAATACTATTTTTTATATATGGCTTATTTTTATACTTATTATTATTTTTGTTTAATATATATATATATTACAGGAATAAATGATCACTAGAAATTAATTTATATTTTATTGTATTGAAATGATAACATTATAATTACACTAGAGTACAATAGAATATGATTGTAATATTTGCATTTGTTCTACAAAATATTTTATAATAATAACTTAGTTATAATTTAAAAAATATTATATTTTTATAAAAATAAAAACAATACCAACATTAATAATACAAATAAAAATCAATAATAATATAATATTATTTTTGTATATTCATATTTAATCAATTCTAATTTTTAATTCTTAATTAATAAATTGATAAATAATTTTTTATAACTTTTAAGGATTATTTATATAATTTTCATAATAATACAAAGATTTATTAAACTAAAATGAGAATCAAAATTAATCATAAGAAAACTAAAATAAAAAAATTTGAATTTGTTTTTAGATAAATTAATATAAACAGGCAGTTGAAAGAAAAAATGAATGTTTGTTCCTATGTTTATGTTCAAGCAGTTAATTATATTACACTTTGAAGTAACTATTTTGAATTTTAAAAAAATAAAAAAATCTGAAGGGTATCTCTAGAATACCCATCAAATTTTTATTTTTTCTTTTATTTAATTTATATAATATTTATATTTATATTTTTGTATTATATAATATTTTATTATCTACACAATGATGTATATTGATTTTATATTTTTTAAAAAAATATATATAATTTTGATAAATATAAACATAAATGTAGTTTTTGTTGAGTCAGGAGAAATAGAATATTAGGTGGAAGAAAAAGAATGTAAGTTAAAGGTTTGGAAATATTTTTGATGAATATCTTGACTGCAGTAATAAAATAATAAAGAGATTCACCAGACTACAAAAACAGTTTAAAAATATATAGGCTGTGTTTGCTTGTGTTTTTTTCTAAGTTTTTGCAATTTCTAATTTCTTTTTCTCCAAAATAATTATATTTTATTTAATATTCAAATCATTACATTAGATCTATTTATAAATCACACTAAACAATTATTACAAACCAACGTTTTACCTTTTAAAACTCCAAACTCAACATATGCAGTCTAATGTTTTGTATTTTGATTTTAACAAGTGAAGATGATGGATATACTAATGTTTCTATTCTTTTGTCAACAACATTTTTCGTTGTATGTTTAATTAATTTATTGGTGATTTACTAAGTGATAGGTTTGCCTGTTTGTCTATAAATACATGTTTATACAATATATATATTTTTGGGAAAATGGAAAATGGCTATGGCTATTTTCAAATCTCCAAGCACCACACTATGCTTACTTTCTTTCATTTTAAAAGTATTCTCCAAAAAAAATCATATTAAAAACCTATATTGTTTCATTTAAAATATTACATTATCAATTTCAATACCACCCATATCAAACCACTATTTTCTCTTATCTTCTCTTCTCAAATTAAGCCAAAACATCAAAACACAAATTTAAATGCTATTGAGAATGTAACTATGAACTGGGTTTTTGGCAGTTAATGTTGTCATACATATAGATAGAATAGAACAGCTTCTAGTCTCTCCACATAGAAATGCAATTAATTAATGTAATGTAATGTAATCTAATGTCTTTTGTTGCTGGCAACTTAATTTACTACTGTGATTGAGATCAGCAATGTCTGAGATCAGGATATCACCGACACCAACACCAACTCATATGTTAATTACAAACAAGTCTCACACTTCTTCGCCATAAAATCCTCCTCCTCCTCCTCCTCCTGGGTCAGAAACCTGCATATGCATAATCAAGAGTAGCATTTACTATATATAAAAAGTTCTCGATATGCCTACATTCATTCACATTATTAATGAAATGTCCAACTGCTTTTGGACATTATCAGATAAGATTCAGATTCAGATTCAGCACAATTGAATTCAGTCACCATTTTATCAATAGGAATTGAAATTCAATTCTCAACACTTCATTGAATTAGCAATTAAGAACCTAGAGCAGGTAAATATATTCATTCATCTGTATCTAATGATTTCTTCAACTAGTTTATTTTTAGCACGCAGAAGAAAGATTATAAAATGCTCAATGCATGCTTTGCATGTTCAACAAAAAATGGTCGGTAGTTTATAAATAAAATTTGATAGTTGGATATGGAGAGTAAATTCGGGTGAGTTTGCACAGCAAGTACCAAAGTGTGTTAGCCAAGAAGTAGAAGAAATGCACGACAATATATTTTATTGCAGCATAAAATTACCAACCCTGCGGTCGGGGAACTTGGATGCACCAGATGGAAAATCGATTTCCAGTCTTCCTCTGACTCTTCTTATTCCTCTTCCTAACCCGGTAAAAAATGTCTTCTGTTCCCACAACATATGAGGCCTACCACGCAGTAACCCAAAGAAGGGGGAAATTAGATCCCAAGAATCTAACACATGCAAATGTAATATGAATGACCAACTTTCGCACTGCATTACCTTTGATGAACTGCAATTTATCCTTGTTTCCAGACCATTTCGAACTATAACTCCTTCCATGGCTCTTTGAAAGTCTAAAGCTTCATCTCCACTTGAAAACTTTTTTATGTTTCTACAAATTCAAATAGGGGGTTTTGATGTCTGCTAATAATCAGAAAGCCAAAACTACTCTCCCACTTTTTTTTACCTCTTCAAGAATGCCCGGGCTCTTCCCCTTACTCTTGGAACGGCTGAAAGGACCTCATTTAAATAAGTTTCAAATTTGGGGTCCATAGAGGTAGCCTTCGGATCGAGCTTGTCCTGCTCGTTTTTCATGACCTGTATGGTCAATCGCGTTGGACAAGGAAACTGCAACAAAGGTACAAGTTCATAATATTAGGCCGGGTTCACATGGTGTTGTTTGCCTTAGTAGCATACTGATAATAGCACACAAGTCATTTTAGGCTGTACACATCAACACATTTTTGTGGCATCTCCAACTACAAAGTAGAAAGTAATGCAAGAAGAACTTACACATTCTATACGATACAAGTTATCCTCTGGAAGAAGGAAACAAGCATTTTGATAGTATACTTTATCATGGAACGTTCCAGGACTTCTTGACCTTTCATACGCATAGAGGAGGAGGAGTTTGTTGTCCATCTCATCAGTGGAGATTGTTTGTAGCTGTTGCACAGGTGTCAATTTTGATCAAAAACAGCTAACATGTAGACGGAATTACAAAAAAGTAAAAGGAATACATATAAGGAATGTAATGCAGTCTAACCTGTTTGATAAGTTTTTGAATAAGCTTGTCCAATGTGAAAAGGATGTACGATTGAGCCCCGATAATAGCCCGACACTCATCCTCAAACTTGGCATTGTCAGAAGACCCATTCAGCAAACTGCATAATGCATCCTTAAATCTGTTCCATAATTAGAATTGCAAGTTACCCAACCATATATGAGTTTATTCATCTCACAAAAATGGAGAATAAAGTCTGATAGACCACCTAGCATATGAATCTTCCGAATTTGCATTATTCAAAATCCGCCATTTGTTTTCAGGAGATGAAGCATGTAACTTGGCACTTTGCATTCTAGCATACAGAATCTGTCGAAGGAAAGTAAAACTTTAAGCAACACGATGTAATGATTGAACAAGAATTAAAAATTATCCAAATAGAAACATAAGGAGGCCTTAGGACTATATAGCAAGGCCATGTTTAGTTGAAAAACAAATTAATCCTATAAAGTAAACACATCCTATAAGTATCGAACATTAACATATTGGCAATCCTTACCTGATGAAACCTGAAAAGCAAATAGAAAGAATCATTTCCATAAAAGATCTGAGAATTGTTTTCGTTGCCATGATGTGACATTGACATTTTCATTGTAAGAGGCTTCACAGTCTGCAGGAAACAATCAGAAAACGGTATTGTTCCTTCAGTGTCGTGAACATCCGCCAGATTATCTGCCTCTACTTCATGCTCAGCTTTGTTGACATTCTCATCATTGTCACCATCATCATCAGGTTCTTCAGGAGAACACTCTTCTACATTCGGAGATTGGCTTGCTGATACATCGCCAATTTCAGAAGCATTCTCACTTTCAGATGAGCCATGGGCACTTTCCTCCCCTTCGTCATTGGTATCTCCTCTGCTTCTTCTAATGCTTGGATCAACTTTATAAAGTGACTGCTCTTCTTCAGTACCAGTATTTCCACATGCTGACGTTCTTTTCTCATCCATATCTTTATCAGGAGACAGTTCACCTTCTTCCCAATCGATTTTAGAGTGGATTTCACTTGCCTCGTGGCAAGTCTGGATTTTGACATCTTCAGGTATGGCCTTACTTGAAGAGGTAATTTGTTTGATAACTCCATCCTGTGCCATTAGCAGGTGTTGCAGGAATGAAAACATAATTGAGGAATAAATGGCATAGTGATGTCTGCCCACACCATAGGTTATTCTCGAAAGAACATTTTCTGTATAAATCTATTTGTTTATCCTCCTTCAATTAGAATTCTAACCCCTACTTGTAATCCTAGTAAATCGTATATAAAACTAAAATTAATCAAAGATCAAAAACCGATATTGGGGCTTTTATGGTAAGGACTGTTTACTCACATCCTATATCAATTGTAAGCAAATATCTTGAACACATTGGACATGACAGAATAGCTTCTCCATTATTTATTTGATATCAACATCAGTTCATTTAAGTACAAACCGTCATAACTCTATACAAAAATCAAGAACCTCAAAAGAAACAGATATAATAGATCAAGCAACAGGATGACAAAATTTACAGTTTATAAGAGAATTAATAACCAACTAATCCAGCATACCTCTAATTCTTGAGTGGGCATTCCTTCTATCCCATGGTTAGGTTTGGTACAGGGAGGCCCTGACGTGGATGCAGAAGACCAAGATTAAGACATATGCAACTGCAAAATATGAAGGACAAGAATGATCAATATATCTGAAGAGTACAAAAATACCTCTATTTATAGTGGAAACATCATCATCGATGCTCTTTCCTCTGGCAGTATTTGGACAGTCTTTTTCTGAACCAGCATGTTTGCCAGCCCAGGACTTATCAGACATCACACTATTACATGTCTTCATATTTTCACTTTGGGGGCAATTAGAGCGTCTGTCACTCTGACTAGTAACAAAATCTGTACCAGGAGAACTACCATTCTTAACTGGGGAATTACCATGTGACATAAGTACTTGGCTGGAACACGGATGCTCAGTCAAACTGCATTCTTCCCCAGATCTTGATGAGTTTGATCGCTTGAAGGAAGTAGTAGCACCAACAGGACTGTCATTCTCTTCACTATTACCGTCCCCATTTTTGGCTATATCATTGTCAACCTTAACATGATTTTCATTGTCCTCTGCACTTGGAGGATGAGAAGGAATACCAAACACAAGCTCAAGGAAGGTTGTCCAGATCTTCATGATTTTGTCTCGCTGTTCAGGAGTACAAAGTTCTCCACAGGAATATTTAATCAGGTGATACATATCATCTTGGATGTCTGGATCAGGATATTCAAATTCCATGTCAGGTCTCATGGGCTTTTTATGCCCAGAACTATCAACGAGGACCATTTCATCTTCATTTTGATATCTTTCGCTAATTTCTTTGATCTCTGCTAACAATGCTGAATGAAAGAAGAGTATAAAGAGAAAAATTGGTCAGGGAGCTCGTTTCATTTTCCATGAATTAAATATACAAACCAAAGCACAAAGAACTGCCAATGATACTGTAGAAACTAAGACTATTTTTACAAACAGAATAAGATACTATAATTAATCATGCTAAGAAAAGATAATCGTAAAGAGACAGAATAACTTTTGTATGAGCGTACAAGTGGAAATATAGTGCTACCTCTGACCTCTCACAAGAACACTATGTTGCGGAAGTATGTTTTATTTTAGTAAGAACAATAGATAATAAATGTACTTGATGCAATGATCAAATCACCAATTACTGAGCTACATTGCGCAAGCAATTTCTGCACGACAGAAAAGCATCTAGTACACTGTTCCATCTACAGAAGATTTGCTTTTTCCTACATGTTGAAATTGAAATAAATTTATGAACAAAATTATAAGAAACACAGTCAGATGATTTAATATCATACTAAAAAAGGATATAGAATATTAATTTTCTTCATGGATTCCCCAAAAACAACTGAGGGCCCATAAAAGAAAGGATTATCAAGGTTAGTAACTCAAATCCCAAATGGAGATAAAATATGGGAGCGGACACTTTCCTTATCCAATCTTTACATATTAGTCACATCCATATGATACGAATGCAGATCTAGTCTGCCATTTCGCAAATGTACACTAGAAATTAACATAAACTCTTTATGCAAGAAAAAATAAAGGAAACGTCAGAATAAGACAGCATCTATTAGTATGCTTTGTGAAGACAAGGTTACAAACAAGAAGTACAATTTACAAGGTAAGAGTTGGTTCATCACTTGGGCTACCAAACTCTAGCAGACAAGATTCAAATATAGGTTCATCACTTGCAACACAAGAGAAGCAAAGGAAGGAGAGTTGGTTATGAAGAAGGAAAAGAAAAAAAAGAAAAGAGATAAAGAGAATGCGGTGGATGATGAAGGCTATATGGACTCAAGATCACAAAAGCCGCTAAAATAAAGAACATCTAAAGAGCAGTAATTAAAATGCAACGGAAAGTAAAACAGGTAAAATATAGTAAAGAAACATAAATTATGCACATGTAAGTTGAGTTGGGGTTACTAACTCTAGAATGAACTAGACCAACGTATTAAATTTCCACAATATTTCACTAAATCCAACAAGCAAAAGGGTCAGGATTGTAATATGTGGGTCCCACCAAATTTACAAATACCGCGATATAATCCATTAGTACAAAATACTCCACAAAATACAAGTTCAAACTACATACACCAAAGATACCACTGAAGCATTGTCACCGCTTGTATGATAACACCAAAAAAGACAGTTATTAAAAGATACAAAACTTACGAAGCACGCAACATGACAGAGAAAGGTTATATTTAATGTAGATGAGAAAAAGCCAAGAATGACGGACACTTGGCACACCATCTTAATTAAAAGCATCATGCTTTACAACGGAACATGAAATTTCTGTTAGTTAGAGAAATTAAATATTAAATGATTATTATCTAATAGCTCAAAATTTCAGATTAGACATCCTTTCAATGCACCACTGGTCCTAGTATCCCAATCTCAACCCCTGAAGATTTTTTTCCCATGCTAAAACTCATAAAATGAATGATGTAATGTATGAGGAGAGGCCAGAGCAATTAAAGGCAAATAATACATTATGTGATACCTTATATATTCAATCATGTGATTTTAATAATATTCAAAGTTGCAATATTTTGAATGTCCACGCAAAACAACTTCAAAATAGTGTCCAATTTTTTACTGCTATATTTCCTTGCAAATTTAGGAGGATCCTCAATCTTCCCGAAACACAAAACAAATACTTTTTTCTTTCAATAATAAAAATATAATTGTTCTAAAGAAAATTGTCGCTTATAATATATATATGTAAAATTGTTCAAAATTCATATCATCCAATCACTCCCTCTATATTAATTCAATATATTACTTGTATATCAGTGTACTTGCACACTCTACACTACTATATATGTATATATACATCTTACACTATAAATTTTGTAAAATCATTATTCATTTTTAAATAGATATACTTTATAAATAATCACTAGCCCTTTGCATTTTCGAAAAAATCACTTACAAGATGAAGGTAGAAAAACAATTATATCTTCAAAACATGTACATTGTACACTATTCTTTGATGGAAAACACACACCACTATTTTCACATATTTTTATACATTTCTGAACATTAAATGAGCAATCCAAATAGGTAAGTTATTTCTATTAACACTTGACCTATCCCATTCACAAGGTAAGTTAATCAGCAGCTGATTTTGTTACCATCGGAGCCTGGGTATAAATTTTCCTAATCAATCTTTGTTTTTGCATAGTCTTATTGAATATGTGTCGTTAAAAGGAAAAAGCAAAATAATGAGCATGCCAACAAAAAGTAGATGCACATCAGTTAGCATGCTGACGAAACCAGTAAATAGACAATCATTAAATCAATGTCATTGCTTAGAAAAACAAATAAAAGTGCTAAGAATAGTAACTCAAAGCAAAAGATACAAACAAAATATCTGTAAAGGGTTGCAGAAAATCAAATTCCAAAATTAAAGCTCCCGAGTCTTACATACAGTTTCCCAGGCATGAGAATATTGGCCTATTTACCTTTAGCGCTCAAGTTCTTAGTATCTTGCTGCTTAAAATAGAAGCTCCTGTGATCAAGTGATTTGTGGTAGTTTTTTGCATAAGTATCTGCCCAAACCTTATTGAACTCCATACGGCACTTTGCCCATTCAACCTGTTTCTGCTTCAACCGACTTAAGACAACCGGAAGTGAAAATGTAGCACTCTTTCTCAGTACCTCAAGTACATCAACCCCATGGTCACCATATAAATGCTCAATGCATCGTAGATCAAGAGCTGAAAAGAAATTTGACAGCTATCAACCTCAAAGCATGATAAATACTACATAGAATGAACGAATACTCAATATACCGGTCAAATGATCTTCAATATGGAATGAATCATCTAGTTTGATTGTATGATTATCTATACTGTTCAAGAGTTCTTCAACGCGCTTGACTGTTGTGTTCGCTGATTCCAGCAGCATGTCAAGTTCAAACCTGGAATCATAATCCAATCACCAGTTTTCAATACATAATTATACCCTGAAAGCCTGTTAATCTCAAATTCAAAGGGGTTAAACTCCAGAGTGACCTTGTCCTAGAAATCTGTTGCCAGTTTCAAATGGAGAAAATATATCTAATTATCTACTGAAAAAGTCATGCATACGAAGGAGGATACACTAGTGCAAATGAAAATATTGAATAGGGGTTAAAGTCAAAAGTGAGGTATTCAAGTACTAGTTTTTACCTGTCATCCTCACACCTAAACAAGCTTTCTTCATATTGATTTTTGCGCATGTGTTTGAAGGAGTAATCCTCACTTCCTGAAGTAACAGACACCCAACGGTCATTCAAAACCTCATCACCAATCTTTGTTCTCCAGTTTGCTGGTGGGATTACAACCTGTCTTGTTGAAATGGGAATGCAATAAGTATTAATAATACCAATTAAACTTATTTAAATAAGTAAACCTACATTATCAGGAAGAAGTCGATAACTCGGAGTGCAGCTCTCACAGTTAGAGAGATCGAGTTCTTGGATGGGCTTCATCAAGTACTCCTTGTTTGCATGAGAAGACGGCTTTTGTTCTAGTACATCTTTAGTGTTTAACACATGTCCTCTATCATACCTTTCCCTTTCTCCATCATCATCATCATCTTTAGTTTTATTTCTACCAGACGCATCAAAATTTTCATCCACCTTTGAAGATTTGAAAGCTTGTTTATTGCTCCTCAAGCAACCTGTAATGACAGATCACGATTAAAATTGTCACGCAGCTTATAAAAGTTAGTATCGCAACAACTTTCCAGCGAATTGTCATAAGTTAAGCCTTATGATTGGAGGGGGGGGGGGTAGTGGAAAGGGGGGGACTTCCTGTAGTATAAAATTTCACAATGAAGAAACTCTCATTTGAATGCAATTAAAGTGAGCACACCTTTGCATAGATAACTTGAGTAGCAGTCACAGTGACACATGGAACATTATCAAGAAAACAAACAAGAAGCTATTATACCACACATACCAGTTTTCTCACTGTAGGTTATGAAATCATCGCATGCTTCCATCAGGTCAGCATGTGTTCCAATTAAACTAGTTACCTGACACAAATAAGGTGCTTCACAGATCAGCTTGCCAACAAAGGAGAACACAAAAATAACTTAAACAACTAAATTTCATTCTGAGTTTCAACAAGAGGCATGGATTGACCTTCTTACAGTAAGATATACTGTGACTATTGTTGTTTACTAATTGTTGGAGAATAAGGATCATATTTCCATTGGAGACCATACAACAATCACTGGTTTCATAGAATGCAATCATAGCAAAAACTAAAAATAAAAAAGAAAATGAAGGGCCTACCAAAGTTATGTTTAACCCTACTAATCAATACTATCAGAAACATTTGGAACTAAAACAGTGCATAGCATACCAGAGTGAGATAAGAAACTTTTTCTGGCCATTGTTTTAACAGCACTATCCATAAAATATCTATTTTCAAAGGCTGAAAGCGAATTAAAAAAACCAGAGAATATATCACAAAATGACTCAAATATTATTGGGGAAAAAATCACAAAATGACTCCAATTTTAAACAAATAGGAAGGAGCAAGACCAGAGGAGATCTTACATGAATGGTATTATTGGAACCTCAACACCCTAGTACAATTCAATTTGCATGCAAAACGCAGCATTAGGACCATATGAGATTCCAACTACAGAGCATAATAATTTGGCAAAGGAGAAGATCTAATATTAGGATTCTGAAAAGTAAAAACACACACACAGAGACATATTTAAGTTGTAGCAGGAGATAAAAAAAAAAGAAAAAGAAAAAGAAAAAAAAAAGAAAGAGCTAAATGTAAATGAAAAAGTATATCACCATAGTTTGAAATTGATCTGCTGTGATAAGCTGGCTTTTATAGGGGCGAATGCAGTCTAGAATTTTGTTGCGACTTTCAGCATCCTGTATTGTCTTGTTCACCTTATCAAGGAAAACAAACTCTGGGCCTTGCATCCCTGGGAAAAAAATTAATGTCAACTAGCCATTTCCCTCTGCCTGGATGCATCATATTAAATTTAAGACCTGATCCTGTAGCCAAAATCTATTCTACCTCTATCATTATGCAGGAGAATCCCTTAATAGAAAGTACATCCCTTGATCTTCAATTTGTTGACTACAAGCTACTTAATATCCTCAAACACCTTCTAGAAAAGTAGATTCATATCCAGCTCATTGATATAAGATAAACATAATAAGTTTTAGACTAAGTAACATTGATCTATGGTAGTTTCTGTAAAATAAATCTACAATTAGAAAGCAAGATTTTGATCACTAGTAATGCTTCAATGCTACATAATATACTACAACCTAATCAATATGCATAATCATAAATCTTCAAGGAAATATTAATGCCCATGCAAAAATCTTAGCATCAGTCCTACCTCGATGAAACTGGCTGGTCGCAGGGTCATCCTCACGGGCACAGCTCTTTTTGTGATCTAAGTTATCACCCTTTCCCAACTCAATTTTCTCTCTACCTTCTTTATTTTCTTTCTCAACATGGTTCCTCAGATCCACAACAGGTTGACTGGGATACTATAGGAAGCAGCATATGATAAAGTAGGTTTCAGAAAGGGAAAAGAAACAAAACATATGTATATATATATATATATATAGAGAGAGAGAGAGAGAGAGCAGAAGCATTATGTCAATATTGAGTAAAAATAAACACAAACACCAAATCGAAACTACCTTTTCAACAGTCTTTGCTATAGCCAGAGGAGAGTCCCTATTGTCCTCACATGGGATGGGATTCCTAGAAGGCTCTGGAGGCCGAAGATGCGCATTCCCCGAAAGATCAGGTAAGAAACGAGCAAAATCTACAATTACGTCAACATGGTCCTTGAAAAGAATTGAGATCTACAAAAAGAAACATTATTCACTCTCAACTGTTAAATGTAGCTCTTTCTAGAAACTGAGACAATATCAAAGAATATGCGACAAAGGAGCATACCTCATTATAAACCTCTGTTATAGACTTTCTGTCATTTTTGAACAAATTTAAAATGTCGATGAAAGCTTTGTACACATGATCTGGAAATCTAGTCTGCACATTGTTAGAAGTATCTTAGTCCTTCAACGATGGTGGACTAAGGGAGAACAGAGAATGAGGAAGCTTGAGTTTTTAGCTGCTGTACCTTGATTCCGGCTACAAATTTGAGAGCTTCTTTATATTCTACTCCCTTTTTTCTCACCGGTTCTTCCTCAGGTGAGGGGCTGATCTCACAACCCTTTGGCAGAAAGGCGTTGAAACCCAAAATTAGGTCCCGGTGACCTTTAAATAACTCCTTCACTTTTGACATAACAGCAGCCGTATTGATTCTATAGAAACCATGGAAACAAATTAAATAGAAACCGATCCAATAAAAAAAAAAGAATTACATAGAAGCTGGGATAGTAAGTGAAAAGTAAACTGAGTAGAGATCAAAACCTTTGTGCCTTGAAATCTTTCATAACATTTATAAATTCATCATATTTATCCTTTCTGTCATGAAAAACTTCTTTAACAGTTTTTACATATGTCAGGACATCCTTTGATGTCAATCCTCCCACTGGGCTGGTAGTTGATGTCTGGAATTGCCTGGTCCTGCATTTGCCCCCCAAATGCAGTTCTCAATCAATTAAACAACATAAATATCTACAAAATACCAAGACAGGTGACTTACACTGCTCCGAAGACTCAAATCTCATATTAGATCAAAGAAGCCAAATCATCATAATCAACTTGTCAAAAATCAGTAACAAGAGTTACCCCATACTTGGGGTTGACAAGATTGCTGCTTTCTGAATAATTAAAAACTAATTTTACCATTTTAGCCCAAAAATGGTAGTAAAATCAGACCACCGAGTTAAAAAAGAACGAAAAACGATCCCTTTTAAGCTGGATTAGATGCCCATAGCAGACACTTGAGACAACTCAACAGAACGCCAGATTCAATGCTTAAAATGTGCCTGAATAAAGCAATTATAGCCCAAGCAGGGCAATATCTAATCATTACTAAAAATAAACTTACGGCGCAATGCGACTAGAAGCCGCGGGCTGCTTGTGTTGGGAGCTCTTAGGCACATTATCCACACCCCTCCTCATCTCAAACCTAGTCTCCACGCCAATCCCAAATCCTCAATTACTGTATAGGCTTCTTATTAAATCCCTGAAACTTCAAAAAATAAATTTTACATGCTTCAATCGGAAAGGAAAAGCAAATTGAAACCCGACATCCTGCAAAAAATCAGCCAAAGCGCATAACTTTATAGAGAAAAGAGAGAAAAAAAAACAAAAACAAAAACAAAACATAAACAAGCAAAATCAAAATCAAAATCAAAATCAAAATCAACAAAGCAGGCTTAGACGGTGAATAAATTAATCTCAGTTGCAGATACCAGCCCGCTGATTAGTTGGAATCACCTCAGATCCTACAGAACAAAGATGCGAAGAAGTCAATCGCAGAACAGCATTGCTGCAATCGGTGCGGGAGGGAAAGCAAAACCGCAAAAATTGTAGAGCTTGTGAAGTTTGCGCAGAACAAGTAACCGCCTCAATTGAGTACGTGTCCGCCGCTTCAGAGTTTCTGTATTTTCTTAATATTTCTGCTGTCGTACATTCGTACGTATCGCCCGACCGCCGCACACTGCCACAGAAATGAAAATCCAGAGACTTGTGTGAATGTGTGCGCATTATAATATATATAGAGAGAGAGAGACAGCGAGATGAAACGGTTGGACTTGAAGTCCCGCAAAACAAAGCCTACTGTCTTTTTTTAAATTTATATATATAATATATTTACTACTGCCTCTTTCCTATCAGCTAAACTATAGACATAGTATATTTTAGTATTTTAAAAAAATATGTAATTAGTAGATAATTAAAAATATATTAGTGTAAATAATTATTCGATAATATAAATAATTATAAATTAATATTAAGATAACTAATTAGTTTAATTAAAATTAAAAAAAGATAAAATTTAAAAATTTAAAATGAGATTAAAATGTGTAATCATTTTCCAAAAAAAAGAAAGTGACATGGTACATGAGACAGACAGAAACGAAACGGCAATGTGAACATGGTATATGAGACGGAAGGAGTATTTTTTATTTTTTATAAAGTATTAATATCTTTAGTTAAAAATTGAAATCACAATAAAATATAAAAATAAATCAACTAATATCTTTTAAGTTGTTATAATTTTAAGTTTTTTTTTTATTTATTATTTAATATTTTAATTTTTTAATACTATTTCATGTTTATTTTTATAAAATTTTATACTTCCTCCGTCCCGCAAGAAGAACACCGTTTGCTTTGCACGTAAATTTTTGAATATTAATATTATATTAGTTTGTAGTAAAAAAGAAAAAAAAATGCCGCTATTAGTGTAGTGTGTTATAAAAGTAATAACATTTGTATTTGTATAATATATTGTAAGTTGTAAGGACATTTATTACGCTAAATAGGTAATATAGTTACTAAATTAAAAAATAATACCAAAATAATAAAAAATAATATAATTCTTATGGGACCGAAGGAGCAGCATATTTGTTCTTTCTCATCTAATCTATGTATTGTTATTTTAATTCGTTTGAAATTAATTAATTAATTTTTTAGTACATCTAATTTTTATATAATTTTAAAATTTTTTATTGTCGATTTATTTAATATTTTGATTTCAAATATATAAAATATAAAAAATTAAAAAATTGTATTATAATATAAAAATAATATTTTATATTAATATTATTTTTTATGAAATAATAAAATATAATATATTAAAAATAATTGAAAGAAGCAACCTTAAATTTTGCATATAATTAATAATCTTATTAATTAATATATAAAATTATATTAAAATTTTTAAAATATATTTACCATTCACTCATTTATTGTATTACATATACATAAAATACTAATATTTCAAAATTTTTAAATATATATACACAGAAGCAGATGGAATATTTATAAATGTTACTCGATCTATCTCAAACACTCTACATTATTTTTTTTAGTATATCCCAAACACCATGCAATATTTTTAAAATAAAAAATAAATTAATTATACATCTTGCTTCACACTTTATTTCTCGCATCATTCAAATAAAACAAATAAAATATACACCGTCTTTTCCATCACATCACCTCATCCAAAATAATAATAATAATAATAATAATAATAATAATAATAAAATATGCATTTCTCTCTCGTCACATCACTTAATTTTTAAATTATCCTACTTAATAATATCCACATAAAAATCAGTGTAAAAAATAAATATTACACCTTGTTTGAGATGGAAAGAGTATCTTTCTATTTTTTGAAAAATTTAGATAATTTGAGAATAAAAAAAGTTTGTTTGATTTGCGTATCAAATTAAATTTTTTATTTTTAAACTAAAATTTTTACTAATAAGTAATAAAATATTATTTAAATAAAAAGTTAAAATTTAACACAAAACAAATTATCCAAACTTTATTGTAAATAGTACTACTTTCATCCCATAAAAATGATATATTTTTATGTTGCGTCATTGTATTTAATGTTGAAAATATATTTATATTTGTATAATTTGCTCTACAAATATTATTATATTTGTATTATAAAAGACTAATAGAAATATTTTTGTCATCTTCTTTTGATTTAAACTACATATTAATATAATAATTAATATTTGAATATCAATATGAAAAAAAAAATTTATGATACTCTTCTTACTAGACAGAGGTAGTATATAATATAACATCAATTTTATTTTTTTTTATTTTTTTATTTTTTATCAAAAAGATAAAATAAGTTTGAGAATGAAAATAAGACTTATTGACAAGTACTAAATAATACATAAATGAGGATTGACAAAATCTGTATCAAAATTCAAAATAGATATATAGATATATATATATATATATTGGGTAAACTGTTTTTTTTAGTCTCGTAACTGGACCCTTTATCATTTTAGTCCCGTAAGTGGAATTTGTCGCAAACTAGTCTCATAAGTGAAAAATTTTCGTTGTTTTAGTCCTCCGGCGCCGGAGACGCCCGCGTGGCTCGCCGGAGGTGACGTGTACCTGGCGGACACGTGGATTTTTTTATTTATTTTTATTTTTTATTTTTTTAAATCTTTTTTAGTTTATTTTAATTTTATTTGTATTTTTTTATTTTTTTTATTTGGTCCAATTAAAAAAATGAAAAAAAACAAATAAATTAACGTGTCCGCCAGGTGTCGCTGACGTGGCGGGACACCTGGCGGACACGTCTCCGGCGCCGAAGGACTAAAATAACGAAAATTTTTCACTTATGAGACTAGTTTGCGACAGGCTCCACTTACGGGATTAAAATGATAAGGGTCAGTTAGGGACTAAAAAAACAGTTTATTTACTATAATATTTAAGGAGATGGGCCTACATAAAATAATTTTGGTATTATTATTAGCAATTTATTTTAAATAAAGAGTGGTGTGTTTGGTTTTGATTTGAAAATAAAATTTTTATTTAAATTTGAATTTAAACAATATTTTAATATAATATTTTATTAAAAAATAATATACTATTATTGAAAATAGTACGAATGTATAAAAATAATTTTGATTTGAATTTAAATTGTGTTTAATTGGATTTTTTTCGGAATTTTTTATTATTCACTATTTTTTTTTTAAAACCATCGAATCAAACTCTTTGATTTGTTTGTTTTTTAATTTTAAATAATCATTCACAAATCTTATATTTAAAGATATTTATTCCTTAATAGAACTATCTCGAGCTCATCAATCAAAAGAGAAAACCATCTATCCTCAATCTTTGCCAAAATAAAATTCTCTACTTTTGAACCACAAGCATTGATAATTTATTTTTGAATATACAGAGACGTCAATTGGTTATTTCCTAAAGCATTTAAATGAATTACTTTTCCGACTTTGTTATTATTATCACCGTACCACTTATAAAACTCAAGAAAATTCCCACGACGTATGGATTGTGATGACTCATCATGGCCACAGAAAGCTGAGTCCTGCCCTAAAATATATCGAATCAGTTTTACAACTGCGGTCAATCGAATCCAATAAGTATCCTCAATTTCAGAATTTTTTTGCATCATAACATAATTCACTTTTCTTATTTGATCTTTATATCTAACACACATAGATTTAGCAAAATTGTGAGAACTAGTTATTGATCCTTGATGACTATTGAATTTTTCTCTAGCTTTTTTCCAGTTTCTAAAACCAATTTCAGTAAATGTAGTATTCTCATACTTATGCCAATTAGAAAACAAATAGCACCCTAAATAGTATGCGACATCTTTAGATATATTGTACTCTAGTCAATCATATGTCTTGAACAATTGATCTTGAAATGATCTTCGAATCTCACCAAATTTTGTAGCAGCCACGAGGTTGAAAAGGGCCCTTATGCAAATATTTTCTTCTCAATTCATCTATAACTCAAATCGGACAATTGACAATCAATTTACGCAATCTAGGATCCTCAATAATATCATCATTTGAAATCTCAACTTCTAGTACCCTTTTGTTCTTTTCATTATAATTGTCACTCATATCTTTTGCACCAGATGTTTCGATATTTTAATTGAAACCTTTAGGAGTTTTAGAAAAAAATCTCTCCATTGTATTTTGCCTAAATAATAACAAAAATATTTTGATCAAACTATTTTACTATCTTCACACATTAACTTCAATTAAATTAAAAGGATATACTCTCACAATTGAATTAGATTAAGATATATCTAAATAAATTTTTTATCACAAAATTTTCATCTAAAAATTTTTAAAAATAAAATAAAAACAAGCAGAGCTGCAGAGGCATGGAAAAAACATATGAAAATATAATTACAATAACTTAAAATACATTTATAAATTCTAAAATTAAAAAAAAAATCATGAAGAAGATAAATATGATAAAAATTACAAGAATATAAATAAGTTAAAATCTGAATACTTATAATAAATATTGTATATACATAATATACCATCAAATCAGCCCCAATTTCAATCCAATAAAATTGCGAAGAGGTGGCCGGCGGCGGGAGACGACGAGCTTGGCGGCGGTGTGCGGCAGCGGACGAAAAGACAAAAACGGACGACTTCAGCAAACACTTAGCAGAAGGCAAAACGCAAGATAAAGAATACATTTTTACTTTTCTTTTTCCTTTTGCCTTAAATTTCTTTTATCACAATTTTTTTAATTAAATTATCAATATTGGTTGGGCCAAATTAAAATATTATTACAAGAAAAAAAAAATCATAATTCAATTCAATTGGCCCAATTTCACTATCATCATCTTCTTCTTCAAATCAGAATTGAACGCATATGGGCGATCGCAGGGAAATGTGTAGAGGGCTCAATTGCAACTGTAATTATCACCGAGGGTCTACGGAAAAAGAATTGAGAGGGCAGAAAGCTAAAATCCGAAATATGATGCCTACTCGTAGGAATTTTCTCATTGGCTCGGGGGCTCTAGCCTCCCAAGCCCTTGTTAAATCCGCCACTGCATGCATGTATAAGATAGTTGAAGCATTTTTTTTTATGACGTGGGAATCCGCAACCGCTATCCGAAAGTGCACCACTGGATAAAACCCCTGCTGAACCAATACCCTGCAAACTAGGCCTGACAAGGCAAGTCACACTAGGCGAACCATGTGTGGCAGGTGGACCTGGAGGCGTCGGGGGTTTAAAACAATGACCTCATGGTCATAAATCCATCATCCACACCACTAGGCCATCCCTTACGGAACAGTTGAAGCATTTTTTTTTATTATGTGTGTTGTGGGAGTGGAATAACATTACTTAAACTTTTAATTAATGATAAAATTATATTTAATTATGATTTAAGAAATCACGCATGCATGATTCGTATTGATTAACTATGTATTCTCTACTATCGACTTCTTTCTAATTCTACCCTCACCAAACAACTTATATTGAAGCATTTCCCCTCCTTGAAATTGATTTATGTACAAAGTGTGCTTATTTTTTCAAATAACCTCTACATTAAAAAAAATTTCTACAAATTTTTTACAAAATAAAACCATCAACTTTAGTTGTTTAATTTATATTCCAGTTTCAAGTTTTGTGTAAAAAACAAACAAAACAATAAAAAGTTAGGTATCATTTACTTATCGTTTTTAAATGGATTGATTTTTAGTTTATAGTACAAAGAATTATATAAACAATATAAAATATATTATTTTAAATTGAATCTCTGACTTTTTTTAATGAGTATTTGATTTGATTTATTTATTTATTTTGATTTTCTGACTTTTTTTTTTAAAAGTATTTTATATTGTTTATTATTATTTTTTTTAGAAATCACAATTCAAAATTTGGTTTGGACGAACATAGCCTTAATGTATATGTTGGAACCTAAAATTTAGAGGCTCCAAGACTATTCGTCAATTCCGTCAATGTGAGTTTTGAAAGTACTCTAAAGAGCCTGTCCGTCGTCGGATTTGGAGGCGGCTCCGACGGTGGAGCCTGTGCAACCTCGAGCGTAAACGAGGCTTCGATGGATTTAAACTGAAATATACTAAAAATCGGATAAATCTACTGAAAAACGGATAAAAATATGCTGGAAACATAAATTAGCAAAGAATTTGGATAATTTTCTAAAATATGTGGATAAGCTAGAAAATAAAAGGATAAAATAGACTAAGAATAAGATTTGTGTTCTTGTCGTCTGTGTGTGTGTTTTGCTATATTTATTCTAATATCAAATAACTACCTTTTCTACTAAAAAGGTAGTTTCACTTATTCCTTCCACTACCTTCAACTGTCTGGTAACCTCCCACCATCAATTTTCAACCGGTGGATTTGCTTTGAATCGTCTCCATTACATCTGAACCGGCTCCCCACTAATTTTGAACTGCCTCCACTACCTTTGAATCGATCTGCAGCTTACCCCAAATTGCCTCCATTGCATCTCTATCCGGTCTACGGGGCTCTGTTCCTAACAGCCTTGAGTCGTGTGGAGTCTTCGGTTTTCCTTTTGTTGACTTGTTCCATGGAGTTTTTTATGGAAGCTATTCCTTTCGGCTTTGTGGAGGTAGCAGTCTTTGGCTCCGTGGTATGAAGCTCCATTATTGTTGTACGGCTCCGTGGCCTGGGAGCTCTAGCTCCGCTTTCGTCTTTGAGCCTCCTTTATGTTCGGGTGCTTTTAGACCCATGTCCAACAATGCCCTCATCAAAAGAGCTGGGTAATTGCTTCCATTGAGCTCATGTCCTTTTGCTCCGAGCTGTTTGCTTGTATCAACTGTGATAACTTCCGCCGACAAGGGATCCTTCTCGGCCTTCACTTTTTGGACTTCATTTCCATCCCAAAACATAAATTTTTAATGGAGTGTTGAAGGCACACACTCGCATGCATGAATCCAATTTCGTCCCAAGAGAGCCGAATAGAATGGCCTATTATCGATCACCATGAAAGTTGATGATATTTTCTTTGTCCCCACCTACACATCCAAAGTGATCACACCTGCCGGTATGTAAGAATTTTCTATAAAATTGGTAAGCCGTAGAAATGTAGAAATCAAATCGTCACTAGTCTTTCCGAACTTCCTTAGGGTCTCAATTGGAAACACATTAAAAAAATCTTCACTGTCCACAAGAACTTGGTCAAGCGGATGGCCATTCATCGAGGCCTGAATGCGCAACGGCTTGACATGTTGGTTATGGCCAGGCCCGAGCCTCTTAAATTCTATCATGGTGCCACATCATTCCATTCGAAGATAGGCTCTTCGTCAACGACAACATCCTCTGACTCTTAAAATTCTTCCGAAGCTTTGAATTCTTCCGGAGGCTCCTCCACTTGCTTCCTTTTTGAAAAAGACTCCTTCATCTGCTTTCCTCTTTGAAGGGGCTTATCCGTCTGTTTTTTGTTAGAAAAAGCTCCCCCATCTGCTCTCTTTTTGGAAGCAGCTCCACAGCCTGCTTTTTTAGCGGTTCCACAGCCTGTTTACTTTCTGGAAGTGGCTCCACATCCTGCTTTCTTTTTAAAAGTAGCTCCACAATCTGCTTCCTTAGCGGCTTCACAGTCTGCTTTCTTTCTGGAAGTAGCTCCACAACGTGCTTTATTTCTGCAATCGGCTCCACAACCTGCTTCCTTTCTGAAAGGGGCTCCACAACTTGCTTTCTTAGAAGTTCCATAGCCTGCTTTCTTTCTTGAAGCGGCTCCACAACCTGCTTTCTTTTTCGAAGCGGCTCCATAGCCTGCTTCTTTTTTTGAGGCAACTCCTCCATCTGCTTTTCTTTTGGAAACAGCTCATGTGACCTTTCCTCATCCATACGAGCTTGCAACTTTCTTCTTTGAGCTCGGCTCTTTTGAGTCCTATTGAGTCCTCTTATTACCCCCTAGTGGAAGGCTTCGGCTCATTCATAATCTATTTTTCATTCTCTTTAACGATATGAGGCTTCCGTGTCGCCTTAGAAATGATGGTGATCTGGTTGGCGTTGGTAACAATCCAAACCCATTTCCCATTCGCAACCTTCACTTCTGCTACGATGGCCTCCGGCTTGGGTCCTTTGTATACTTTCTTCTTCTCCAATCCTAAGGCTTTCGGACTTGGGATGGTAACACCGACATTAGGCTCCCTCTTGATTGTCCTTTGTCTTACCTTCTCCATGTTCGAACTTGAGACTTTATCAAATGTCACCCTTGTGAAGACGGCTTTTTTAGCGGGTGCTTTCGGTCCTAGACAGTCTTGAACCAAAGGTTTTGACAGCTGGGTGCTAAGCCCGTCTTTTATAGGCCCTTTAGCCAAAATGGTATTAGTAGAAGGAATAAACCCTTTGGTCAACTTCAATACCAGACACAAATAAGTCTTTCCATTTGCTAATTTTTTGGCCAAAACTTCTGCCTCCGCCAAGTTCTTTTCGTGTGAAGTTGCTAGGGCTTCTACCCTTGCAGGCCCTTTTTCTTATGGAGTCTACATAGCCTCTGGAGTCTCTGCCCCTATAGCCTCCTTTTTATATGGACCCTCCATAGTCTCTGGAGCCTGTGTCCCTACAAACTCCTTTTCATATGGAGCCTCTGCCCTTCCAACCTCTTTTTCGTTTGGAGTCTCCATGGTCTCTAGAGTCTCTGCCTTCGCAAACTCTGGAGCTTCCATGGATTTTGGGGCCTCTGCCTCCGCAGACTCTTTTTCGACTAGAGCCTCCATAGCCTCTGGAGTCTCTATCCCTGCATTTTTTTTTTCGTATAGAGGTTATTTTTTCGTGCTCAAAGTGGCACTAGGCTTCTGTTTAAATCTTCTTTTTGAAAATGTCCTCCTTATGCAATTTGCGATGACAAGAATGTCCATTAGAGGCTTGGCCTCCTATTGATTTGGTGTCAGCGGCTGTACTCCGGCTGCCTGTTGATGGAAGGTTAGGCGACTGTATCTCTGTGGCCTGCGCTCCTTGCCACTGTCTTTCGACGGTCCTCTCCTATTGGAGATTAGCCACATACGAACCGTAACATCCCCATGATGGTGTTGGCGCATTCCACATAGGTTATCCGCTAAATCGCCCTAGCGGGATCATGTCAAATGTTAGAAATTTGCCTGCCCCTTGTGGAGGCTCAGCACTGCTCTCCGAAACTCCAATGGCCAAGGGGTTCCAGCTCTCCGCAGCTTGTTGGCTCCAGTGCTCCGCAGGCTGTTGCCAGCCCTCTACAGGCTGTTGGCTCTAGCCATCCGTAGGCTATTGGTTCCAGCCCCCGCAGACTGTTGGCTCTAGTCATCCGCAGACTGTTGGCTCCAGCCTCCTGCAGGCTGTTGGCTCCAGTCCTCCATAGGTTGGTGGCTCCACCCTTCTGCAGGCTGTTGGTTCCAGCCCGATCATGCCTGCCCCAGCCCTAAGGCTTAAAGCATTGGATGTTCTGCAAAAATTCCGTAGCTTTCTTTAAGCGGTAAAAATGAACCCCATGTAAGCCCTGATATCATTCTTCGAAAAATCCGACTTCGGTCCCACGGGGCGTGCCAATTTTTGGAGTAAAAAATTCAGAGGCTCCAAGACCGTTCGTCAATTCTGTTGGTGTGGTTTCCAGAAGTACTCCAAGAAGCCTGTCCGTCGTCGGATTGGGAGTGGCTCCTTTGGTGGAGCCTGCACAGCTTCGAGCCTAAACGACCCATTAAGATGGATTTAAACTAACATCTACTAAAAATCGGATAAATCTACTGGAAAATGGAAAAAAAAACATGCTGAAAACATAAATTAGCAAGAAATTAAGATAATCTCCTAAAATCTATTGATAAACTAATAAAATGATAAAGACTTGTAGAGGATATGCGTGTTATTGTCGTGTGTGTGTTCTTTTCACTATATTTATCCTAATATCAAATGACTACCTCTTCTACTAAAAATGTAGTTTCAATTATTCATTCCACTACCTACAACCGCTTGGTAACCTCCCTCCATCAGCTTCCAACCGATGGATTTGCTTTGAACCTCCTCCATTACACGGGTTCTCCACTCATTTTGAACCACTTCCACTGCCCTTGTATCGATATGCAGCTTACCTTGAATTGCCTCTATTACATCTCTACCCGATCTACGGGGTTTTGCTCCCAACAACCTTGAGTTGTGTGGAGTCTTCAGTTTTCCTCTTGTTGGCTTATTACATTGAGCTTTCTGAATAAAATATGAAAGTGCATAGGCCTTCCACTGATGTTCAATACAAGATTATTAACCCAAGGCCAATGGAGGTGGTTATCCCATGATCTGTGAAAGCTGTTGCTTTCGGCCTTTTGGAGGCAACCTTCTTCTGCTTTGTAGAAGCACCGCAGTCCAATGGAGGCAGTTGTTTTCAACCCAATGGAGACAATAATTTCTGACTTTATGAAAGCATTTTTTCGGAATGGAGGCGCCATAGTCCAAGGAGTTGTTGCCCTAAGGTTAATGGAAGATGCTGCCCCAGGGTCCGTGGAGGCTGCTGCTTTCGGCCCCAGTGGAGGCAACAATCATTTTCTTTGTGGAGGAATCACAGTCTAATGAAGATTGTTGCTTTTGACTCTATGGTGACAACAGTCTTTGGCTCTGTGGCATGAAGTTCCATTGTTGTTGAACGGTTCCGTGGCATTGGAGCTCCGGTTCCGCTTTTGTCTTCGAGTCTCCTTCATGTTGGAATGCTTTTGGACCCATGTCTAACAGTATCATCCACCAATAATGCATAGCACATAGCACCGGGTTAATGAGTTGTATAATTAAATTAAAATAGAAGTAGCTTATGTGAAACACTATACTTAACCACGCATTATATACAGATGTTAGATCAAACTGTATTTATTCAATGAAAGATATAATTGTTTTTATCTTATCCGGTTAATTTGTTATCATCCAAATATAAAGTATTAACTTTTTTACTTTTTAATAAATATATATACTTCATTACATATTACAAATTTCTTTTAATATGCATTTTATTTACTAACAGTATATATTAAGTTAAATTAAAATTTAATTATATAAATTTTTTTATCTAAATAAAAAATATCATAAATTATTACTAAAATATAATAATATATTAAATATTAAATTAATATTTTCTAATATCATATCAAATAATTATTTATTTTTTAATTTAAAATTTATTATTTTCAAATTATAATAAAATATCAAAAGACACAAAATTAAAATAAAATAAAAAATTAAAATGATAATAGTTATTGTTATATATTATTAATATAATACATAGTGGTGGGGTCTAATATAAAAATATTTTGAAAGAACAATATCTCATATAATTACACGTATTCAACCTAACTATATTAGATTCAATAATAATAATAATAATAACTGTTGTGATGTTATTAAAGGAATAACCAATAAAAATATTAATTATTTCTACCGCTAATTAATATGTGACAAGCGTGTATATATTATAATATATAATATAGATGTATAGTATATATATGTATGTATGTATGCAAAGATATATATAATATTATATAATAGTAGTAATCAAATACAGAGAGCACAGGAGATGGAGAGTGAAATTGAAGTGTATTATTTCATTTCATTTACAGACGTATTTATAGGTAGATAAACCTTAATTCGAAGGAAAGTAAAAGCATACATATCCATTACGTAGCACCTACGTATCCATTACGTAGCACCTTCGTAGGTGCTACGTGTATGACACTCCCCATTGGATGCTTTTATATGAAGAATGTGCCTTCTTAAAACCTTATTAGAAAAAAAACCCTATGGGAAAAAAAAAAAATTCTAGTGAAGGAAAAAGAGTACACCATTCTTGTATTGATTCTCCCCCTGATCTGAGCATTATTTGAGATCCCTGAACTGACGCATTCCAATTTCCTTTACCAATCTTTCAAATGTAGCAGTCGGTAATGCCTTGGTTAAGATATCCGCCAAATTATTATCTGATCGAATTTGTTACACATTGATTTCACCATTTTGTTGTAGATCATGAGTAAAAAAGAATTTTGGTGAAATATGTTTCGTTCTATCTCCTTTAATGTAACCCCATTTCAATTGGGTTATACAAGCTATATTATCTTCATACAATGTAGTTGAGAGAATTTTATCGTCAGGTATTAACCCACAATTTTTCAGAATATTTTGAGTCATTGACCTCAACCAAACACATTCTCGACTAGCTTCATGTATTGCCAATATTTCAGCATGATTTGAAGAAGTGGCAGTTAATGTTTGTTTCATCGATCTCCAAGAGATCACAGTTTTGCCACAAGTAAATATATAGCCAGTTTGCAACTTGGCTTCATGAGGATCTGATAAATATCCTGCATTGGCAAATCCAATCAATTCATGTCGAGAATCGTTCGAGTAAAATAACCCGAGATAAATTGTTCCTTGGAGATAGCGAAAAATGTGCTTAATCCCATTCCAATGTCGTCGAGTAGGCGATGAGCTGAATTTTGCCAATAAATTTACAGAAAATGATATGTCAGGTCGGGTGCTGTTGGCAAGGTACATCAATGCGCCTATAGCACTCATATATGGCACTTTTGGGCCAAGTGTTTCTTCATTTTCCTCTTTTGGTCTAAATGGATCCTTTGCTGAATCGAGTGCTCTGACGATCATTGAGGTACTTAGCGGATGTGATTTATCCATCATGAATTGTTTTAATACCCTTTTGGTATAATTTGATTGGTGGATGAAGGTTCCACTTTCCAAGTGCTCAATATGCAGACCAAGGCAAAATTTAGTTTTTCCAAAATCTTTGATCTCAAACTCCTTTTTTAGATATTCAACAGCTTTCTGGATTTCATCAGGAGTTCCAATTAAATTGAGATCATCGACATATGCAACGATGATTACGAATC